AGGACATGTAGGGAACACCAAACAGAAGTCCCTTTTCTCCTCCCATGTGTCCTCTAGGATGATGGATTTTACTATGGTCAGGTATTGTGAATTTGAAACCCTCTGAGGTAGGAAGAGGCCAGGTCCTACTGGAAACTGGGTATTTGTACCTGTATTAATCCCATAAACACTTGGCTGTGTAAGTTGTGTCATTGCCCTGGGTTTCCTGGTAGTCAGTGTAGCTTTGGGCACCATCAAGTGGAAGTCAGACCATCTCAACTCAGAACTGCCCTCCAAAAGTTTCCGTTCTTCTCTTTGTCAGTTCAAGCTGGGTGCTCCTGTCAAACACCCTGTGTTTTCTGGGAGGGACACAGGGTCTGAGGACAACAGCACAAGCAGGGAAGGGACTCCAGAGCAAGGCCAGGCTAACACCTGGCTGTCATAGAGGTTTCTTTCTCCAGAGCTTCATATACGAATATTAAGCTCTATTGTAGTAATATATTAAATATATTATTATATTTAACAGGTGTGACTGATATCAGAGATATTCAGTGTTGCTTGTTTTATTTGCTCATGTTCCTTCTGGCAGACTTCTCTAAAGAGTTTCAAGAGTTGAGCTGCAGTGGATCTTCATAAAGGAGACTGGAGCATCTTTTAGGATCTTGAAGTCTCAGGGACATATCAGCAAAGAAAGGTTAGTGGCACTTTTGCTGTGAACAATACCCACCAGCAGCGACCGAGTGAGAATTAATGCTGAGTGGTTGTGTCTGTGTCTTCATAGCACCTGAAAACCTCACATTCGTTTTAAACCTCACCAGCAAAAAATACTGCTGGGTTTTACAAGGCAGAAAGATCACTGCAGAGATTCAAAAGCTTGTATTTACAAGCCTGCAGTGCTTAATTCCCTCTGAAATGGAGATGTGGGACCTGTATATTTTTAGAATTCTTGTCCTAATTTAACTGTTAGGGGTTAAGTGCAAAGTAGTCATGTGAGAGCCCTTTGCAGTCAATACAGAAAGAGGCTGCTGTCTCCAGAGAGTGGTTCATGCCCCTTTTCATGCATAACTTTCTGAGATGAGAAAAAAGGGGTGTCTGTCTCTCTCTTTCCACCGGCTGCAGAGGGAGCCTGGTTGCTGAGTTTTGAGAAGGCTGTTTTCAAGAGAAAGAAATTCCAGCCTAAGAGATTTTTGCCAAGGTCAACCTTGAAGTTTATGGAAGTGGGATCTGAAGTCCCAGGCTAGTGCTTTAAATCACTGAGCCATCTGTAACAGGCCTGTAATCTGCATCAAGAAGGACATCAAAGCTCTGGGGCTAAGGAAAAAAAATTACAGCCTCTTCCTATGATTCCTGTTTGCTGTCTCCCTGCAGATCAGAAGGGAACTAAATCTCTGCTTGAAACGGAGAACACTCACCCTCCTCAGATGGGAAGTCAACCTGGGACATGACTAGAGGAGATGGCTGAAAACTGACCAATATTTTGGGGAGAGGAGTAGTGAACAAAAGAAATATGGGAATGCTGAAATTCTCTGTACTGTGGTGAACTGTGGGGCTTTACAGCAGAGGAGTCCAAGGGGCTGCAACAGTTAGAGGAGCTCCTGGGGGGCTGTGGTGGGCACAGTGATCCCTGCAGGAAAAACACCATTTCTTTGCAGCAAGCACCTGTCAATAGGCTTGTGCTCAGTGGCACAGGCTCAGTGAATAATAGAGACATCATTTGAACAATTAGCTAATTAAGGCTAATGAGCACCTGAATCACTTACAGCACACCTTGGGCTGATGGGGAATTCTTTCAGAAAAGGGCCTTTTGTCAGCAAACACTGATGCATCAGCGTGGTAATGAGTTGTCCTGCTTATAAATGAACATATATCAGATTGCAGGGTAATTCCTGCT